CTCATTATTTTGATGATGACATTTTTTTAATTCTTTAAATTTCATTTACAATTAATGGTATAAGAAATGATCCTCCAATAATTGATAAAATTCCACAATAAAGAAATAAATGATTTTCTACATATGGGACAATTAATTAATTAATAGCAGCAAACATAGCTGCATATCCCATAATAACAGAAACTACAGTTGATGTTGCAGATTTACTATCTAGAGATAAATAAATAAATAAGTAATATACTTTTTAATTCTGGTTAATTACTAAGTTCTACAGTCATGGCAGTTGAAATATTATTATAACATCCACCTATAAATAATCCTGTTAAAAATATTAAACACATATATCCAGCTATTTCATGTTTAAATGATCCACTAAAATTAACTGAAATCATTATAACAGTTCCTATCCATAAAGATGGAACTGTTATAATTGCTCTTTTATTAAAATAATATCCAATTAAACTAAAATTATAATAGAAATAACAAATACCAAATTAAAATTCCTCCTGGAATAGAACCAACATCAATCATAGCTGTTATCCAAGCAACATCATTTACATTTTTACTATCTAAATAACTTGGTAACCAAAAACCAAGAATATAATAAACTGCTTTTATACATCCAAAAGCAAACGCATATAAAGCAACATTTGGAACAAACCAAGCATTAAAATAATTTAGTTATTTTGTTTATTCTATTTTTATTTCTTATTAATTTTATTTCTATATTTGAGAGCTTTTCCTTGTATAATCTAAATACTAATCTAAATTTTCTTCATATTTTTTCTCAATCATAGATATCATTAGTTAGGGTTGCAATATTTTTTATTTGTTAATTTGGATTTTTTCATTCTCTTCAATCATCTATTTTTTGATATCATCTGGAGGAGCATTGACCAGCATAAAAGTATCAATAAAGTTCATAATAAAAAGGGATAGTCCAGCTAAATATATTGGTGCATATAAAGGTAAATTATCTTAAGAAATTAATGAACCAGCATATATATCACCAAGTATATTTCCAACATTAGGACACGCTGCAAAGTATCCCATAAGTATAACTTTTTTATCTGTAACAAACCAGTTATTAAGAATAGCTATATAATATTATAAATAAAATACCTAGTATTCCACACCAAGCAGTTGATTATGATATTCCATTTATTATTTGCAAAATTAGGAATACATAATTATGTTTTACTTCAATCTATATCATAACTCCAATCAAAACAAAAATTAAACTTGTTGTATAAGTTCCAACTAAAATAAATAGTTTTAAGCTCATTCTATCTCCATATTAACCTAAACTAAGAATTCAAATTCAAATTAATACAATGATATTGCAGCCCCATAAGCGAAAAGGAAAGAAAAATTAATGTAGCCAAGGTATTACTTTGTGAAATATTCTTCGCCTACCATCCTACCTGATACATAACTCCAAGTTGATCTACAGCAATGTATAAAGGCATATTAGAAAAAACAGAGGATAAATGTAAGAATTCTTTTTCCTGTGACATCAGGAATTGATGATGCAAACATTCTGCTTTTTAATTATTTACTAAATCTGAATATTCGTTCAAACAGTAAATAAAAATAAATAGTTCGTTAAATGCCTTAAGAATATTAGGGTAAATGAAATATTATAATAATGAAATTAGAGAAAAATCATCCTTAATTAGATGCAAGAGGGGAAATTAAATATAAAATTAAAATATTTTATAATTATTGCACTTATCTCCTATTTTCTCTTAGCCTTTTATATTTGGTTATAATTAATATTAGACTTCTCTAGTAGACTCCTGAGTAGCTAAAAATAAAACATCAAAACTAAATAAAAATGCATTCTTGAATATTTCCACATTCTATCATTTATTTAATCCATACAACTTCATTTAATTCTTATCCTCTTAAATAATTCGGTAGCCGAAATTCCAGCTAATAGAATACGGCTTTGATACATCTAAAGGAAAAAGCATAGAGTGTTACATTAGGTAATTTCCATGCAGAGAAAATATTAATGCTATCCTTCTTTGGTCGTTTCGGTTACAATTGTAGTTCTCCAACAGTATTTTTAGCAACAGTTAGGAGAGATTGATCGATGTTGCGTTTTGAATATCCAAATATTAATTGGAAACCACACAAGCAGTCCTAGACCCTGTTCTGCTCATATATTCAGCAGGTACATCTTTATAAACTAATGATTTAGTATTTGTATTTCTAAATTTAGAAATATGTTCTTTTGCTGTATCTGTTGTCATGGGAAATATATTTATGAAAGACATTAATTTTACTCCAGCTGATGCTACATATATAGGAGATATAATATTAAATTAAAATTGTTCGATAAAAATGCCAAAAAATAAATACGGTGAAATATCCCATTATAATGACTTTGTTTGGTTTGGTTTGCTTTGCCAATTATTCATAATTGCCATTAAACCTGGCCAAACTAGAGCCTGTGCTAGACCATTAAATATCATTAGAGTTAGGATTATCCATCTATTATGTTACTCTACTGTAAACAGTCCTGCAATCAAAAATTATATAATTCCAGTCAAAAAGGTACCACATAACATGAATCTCTTAGGTCCTATTCTGTCTCCAACTTATCCTAAACTGTGATAAATTGGTAGATTACAATAACATTGATGAACCGTAAGTAAATAGAAATGCAAAATTAACATCCGCAAAATAACTCTTATCAAAGTCATCTATTTTTTAGTCATCATATTTATGATGATCATCATCTTGTTTTGCCAATATACCAGATGTGAAACTCCAAGTGGAACAACAAGAATGTAACATTACATATTGGATAAAGCAACAAATAAAGACTTATATTCTTTTTGCCTTTAATCCCGGTACTGGAGAATTGAACATTATTTAAAATTAAATGTATTAAGATCATGTCATATCATTTTCTCAATGAATTTTCAACTCTGTTACAAGTTTGATCTATCAAATTAATCAAGCTCTCTTCTGTAGCTTCTCTTTCATTCTTTTCACTTGTTAATTCACTATTTAAATAGTGATTCATTTCATCTAACATTCTAAACATTTATCCTTATGCCTATTCTCTTTATTTTTTCTCAGTTGTTAAGATCTCTTACAATTTTAAAATTGAATCTCCTAATCTCTTAATAGTATTTTGATTTTGTTATTCTCTATATTTTATATATATTAATAATACCTTTATCTTCTTTCTTCTTCTACTTCCTCTTATAATTATAAAATACGATCTCCAATCTCTTAAGCATTCTTCTCTTCTGTCTCTTCTCTGTATTTCTTCTATCTTGCCAAATCCAACTTCAAGCTATAAACCTTATCATCTGTATTCTTAATTATTTTTCCTTCAAAATCTTTTCTATTTATTTTTTCTGATTATAATTCTTTATTCAAAAATCCTTCTAATGCCTTTAAATCTTTTGATCTTAATTTTTCATCTCCAGCCTAATTTTAGTTTTAACTATACTTCTCTAATGATTTTCTCATTTTATGCACCTTCCTCAACCTTTTAGAGTTGTTCTTTCAACAACTTGAACTTAGAATCATCTCCTTAAGCTTATTTAGTTGCTCTGTCTTCTAAAATTTTAATCTTGCTCTCAAATGTTTCTTTTTTAAACTAATTATTAGTATACAAACCATACAGCTTAATCTTCATCAATTTAATGTTATAGATTGGAGAGTTTTTCTGATAGCTGTGATATTTTAGCTCTGCTTGGGGAAAGTGCTCTATCACCTCCATATGGTTGTACATTTGAAACATTCACATTTGAACGTGATGGTGAGTAAAAGATCTTTGATGCAGACATAAATAATTAACAATAAAAATTATTTCTAAATATTTTTTTTTACTTTCTCGTTTTAAAATCAATCTAATTAATCTCATTATTTTTTTAATCATGAATTTTTATTCAGAATTCAAACACAACATGAGATTAGCTAAAGCTGATCAAGAATTCAAAAAAAA